ACCAAATAAATATCTAAACTGAATAGGAAATGGTTTTGAAAAATGCTTAGCAATGAGGCCTCTGTGAACAATCAGTGACGGATTTCTGCTCCAAGGTGAATTTGTGATTCAGATAGCTCAGCGGTTGGTATGTTTTGTAAATAGCAAAGGGATCATAAAATTTATTTAGAACATTTCTAGAATGTAAGGAATATAATCAGAATTACGGAGGATTTTGTTATGGATGATAAATTGTTAGGGAAAAGTGAAAAATCTTTTTATGACCGCAATTAATCATCACTGCTTAATGACAGTGCAAGTAGATATTGGTGAGGTTTTATTTGCTTATGACAAGGCTTCATCTTATAAATTAAAATATATAATTTTACACTCTTGTACATACCAAGCGTAGAAGAAAATTGTTAGAACTGATGAATATTGAATTTCTTAATGGCTCAAGGAATTTATTTGATGGAATTATAAAACCAGAAGGTCCCAGATTCAATCTTCAGTATATGCTGAGTTAGTTGTTTTCTGCTATTGCAGCAATAGGGTGCCAAGGCAATGCTCTTAATGTCAAGCTTTAGAGAGGCGAAAATCAGCCAGGATTCCCATTTACGGTTTGCAGGCCTATGGGAGAGCACCTGGGACTCCGATTTAATTGGATAGCTCTTTTCATAGAGCTAACACAGACACGATGGGCTGAATGGCCTTCTTCTGTGGTGTGTAATTCTATGATTCTATGACCCTGGTGATTCTGTTCTAATATCAGATGAGAACAGGATTAAACTCAACCTCTGCTTCTCCCCCCACCACAACACACACAAACTTCCCCACCTCAGTCTATCATACTATCCTTACTCACTATCAATGCTCATCCACAGATTATGGCCATTGGGTTAAATACCAGATAGAACCATATGAAGAAGGTAAGAGCAATTAATCTTCTTACACTCATGTATTGATGTTAGATGAGGACATGTTAAGGGTTCACCTCACCCCCTGTCCCTTCCGCCCCCACCCCCACTAGTCTAACAAACTCCTATTGCTGCCACTGTCAACACCCATAGATAATGGCCAATTGATTTAGGTAACAGCTGGAACCATAGCTCCAGGGGACGGTAAAAACAGCCAAGCTCCTTCAAACCCAGAGATTGGGAGAAGATGAAATTGGTGAGAGGGAAAGTAAACATTTATCTTGCATCATTTGAATTAAGTGTGATGATTTCTCAAGAATGTTACTGAAACAATATTGAATTGTATACGAATACAGACAGAAGAGGCACAGAATCCAGGATATTTATAACATCATATTAGAGTTTTTTTAATCCTAAATAGAAACTTTTTTTAAAAAAAATAGAAAATATATATTAGGCATCTAGTATGTGACTTTTATTGGGGCTGAAAGCAGATGTTACCTCAATGGTAGCAGTAGTAGCATTCTCTCCTCTGAATGAGAAGGTTGTGGGCTCAAATCCAAAGTCGGGACTTGAACTCACAGTATAAGCTGACACTCCAGTGCAGCGCTGAAATGTGTTGCATTGTTAAAGGTTCTATCCTTCAGATGAGATGTTAAATTGTGGTCCCAGCTACCTGTTCAGGTGGATGTTAAAAATCTCATGGCACAATTTAAAAAGAGAAGGGAATTTCTCCAGAGTTCCTGGCCATCAGTCCTCCAAATACAATTGATCACTCATTTCATGGCTGTTTGTGGGACCTTGCTGTGCACAATTGTGCTGCCAATTTGCCTACAAAATTTAGTCATTCCACTTTCCAGTAAATTCGGTAAAGTGCTTTGAGACGTCCTTCCAACGTGATAAGACGCTATACAAAGATTATTATTAATATTATAATTCTAGCTGAAAAAAATCAGGAACGTGTTCATTATCTCCACAAAATATAGCTTAAATGTTGCTCAAAACATGAGCTTGTAATGTCTGGGTACATTTGGCTTAAGTTTAGCGTCATCAGTAAAAGGGCCAGCACCAAAAGGTAGGACACATTAAAATAATTGTACAGCCAACATACACAGTGCTGACTGCCAACCAACCTCTGTAGCACATGTCCAACAATAAACTGCTTTCACACTAATTGGCCCGTGTGCTGTTCCCGCCCACGTAATAATGTCACGCCGAGCCTACATGATGATGTTACACACTTACAGTCATTGACCCCAATCACAATGTGCATCAGACAACCGTTCAGTGGAGAGCGACATTGAGGAGCTAGTTATCTTAACTGAAACAAATTAAAAAACAATGCAGGTTGTAATTTCCAGCAGAAACTATTAACGTAAGTTTGACAATGATTCCACTGACGTACTGTAGAGATCCCTAGTCCACTGTACAGCTAAAAAGGAAGAAAAACAAACCACACTAAGAGGATGATATTTAGTTTAATAAGTATCAAAGCTCGTCAGAAATAATTGTGTTTGCCTAGAAGAAAATAAAGTACGTGAACAAATTGGCTTATTGCAGAGATGGTTGGCCAGACAGCATAAGCTTTATCACACCACAAAAGCCAATTTGCCTATGGCAGGAGAACTGATGAAGCAATACAAATTCCTTACAAAAGGCAGGCAGCAGAGATATCAGCATAGATTGCTTGGGAGAATGTTGCATGAAGGTCACCATATGATCAGGAGGTACTGGGAAACAATTAAAACCTTTAGTATGGTAGTTCAGGCTGAGTAAACAGTATTATAGGACTGTTTTCAGAACTGTACTATTTGTGGAAAACTAGTTGAGAATCAGTGATGCTGTTTATTCTTGAAGAATGTGATGATGGGAAGTTGGATGTAACTGTCTTTGGGCGAAAAAATACATGATACTCATGGATGTCAATTGATATTCTTTTTCTATTAAATAACTTAATGATCCAGCACATTGTGATCCTAGTATTGCATAACATGAGTATCCAAACCAAACTTCCATATATGTATGCCACCTATAAAGGAAATTTATTAAGATAATCATCTTTATATTGATATAGCATTTTTCATGTCGGGAGGATATCTCAAAGTGCTTTGCAGGATTTATTGTAAAGTGGGATGACTGTATATTTGTGAGCAAACATGGCAGCCAATTTGCATACAACAATGTCCCACAAACATCCATGATGTGAATGAGCAATTTTATCCTGCGTATTGTTGGTCAGAATACCAGGAGAAACTTTTCAAAAAGTGCAATAGGATCTTGAAGTCCATCTAAACAGGTAGACGGTGCTTCTGTGTCTCAATCTAAGGACCTCACCTCCAATAATACTGCACATCTCCCAGCACTACACTGGAAACTCAGCCAAGATTATATGAGTTCCAAGTCCTGATGTTGGGATTGAACCACAACTGTCTGATGCAAGGGTGAGAATTCTATCAACTAAGCCAGGGTGACACATGAATTTACATGTGTCTGAAATGGACCATATCCTATGTCCCTGGAGGGGTGTGCTCTGATTACCTAATACTGGAGAGTACTAGGCACAAATTGACAAGAGCCAAGGTTTAGGTGACTCCAGAATGTGCATTACTGTTGGAGTATAACCTCATAACATAAATCACATTGCCACCAGGAAAATCCCAATAAATTAAACTAACTAGCAAGATATTGGCTCCATTGGCCAATAATCCCATACATCCACACATACATACACACACACGCATATATACATACATAAAATAAAATTGGTCATTCACTTCGAGACTGATGTAGGACATTGCCGTGCAAAAACTGATTGACACATTAGCTTACAAATATAGTCACTGCACTTTACAATAAGCTGCTGTGAAACACTTGAAGATATTTAGACTATATAAGATGCTACTCCAAATGCAGGGATTATTTATCATTATTATTATTATTTCACGGGACGTGCTCCTATTTCCATACTATGGACCATGACTGATACCCCCTCTAGGAACCCCCCCAAATTATTCAGCGTCATGAACTGAGGACAGAACGTATAAATCCAGTCTGTACATTCATATCGATCTCAAACTGTGTGATATTTTATCACTTCCAGCAATTTAAGCTGGGATCAATCTTCCAGATGAGAGTTCAGCACTCAGTGTTCGATATAAAAGGATATTCCATCAGTACTTCTTTCACCATCGGTATAAACTATCACAAATGGACCATTAAATATTATGCAGGCTCAGTGAAACAAAGTGAATAATCACTGAAATGGTGTGCCTGAATAGCTTTCAGTATAATGCACATATTGCAAAGCTCAGCAGTCTTTCAATTTGGATTGTGCTGTCATCTCTGGAGACTTGTATTCAAAGTTAACCAAAAGCAAGAAGGTGATTAAAATGATAACTTCCTTCTAATAATTTGAGTCCAAATTGCAATGAATTGAATTATTCTCAAACAACACTGAAATGCACTTCGTAAAAACATTGCAACTGAATTCATTACACTCAATTAAGGGTTGTGCAGTTGTATAGTATTATTGGGTGGAAAATGGGCACTATTGTAGAAAGATGTCATTATCAATGATTAGTTTGCTTTATTCAAAAAATTCCATTATTGATAAACAGTTGTTATGGTCTTCCTTGCAGAACAACAAATTACATTTATGCAGCACCTTTCACAATGGGAGGACATCCCAAGTTAAGAGTATCTTCCTGAGTGTTAAACTATATTTAGCTTTTTCTAGCAACAGTATACAGTAGCAAGATATTGTAGCATTGAAGAGAGCACAGCATAGACTTATAAGGATGTTACCTGGGATGAGTGGACACAGCTATCAACAACAACTTGCATTTACATAGTGCCCTTCACATGTATATGCTCAGAGTGCTCAATGTTATGAGAATGTGGAACTCAATGTTGGAAGCTGTGGTTGCAGCTGTGCCTATCAAGATCCTCTCACTGATCTACAAATCCCTTCAAAGCTGAAATCATAATATTATTCTGACAATAATTATTACAATAATCCTCATGGCAATCTAATTTTGAACAAAAAAAAACTGAATTCCATTTAAAGACACAAGGTTAAAGTGTAGTTTTACAGTAGTTCCTTACCATCACAACTTGGTAATGGATGATTCCACCAATGGTTTTTTTCACATATCAGAGGCTCTTCATGTCCTAGTGTATAGCCAGGTTCACAGTTGAATGTCACTTTTGAGCCTATTGAAAACTCTTGGCCATATCGATGCCCATTAACAGGTATACCTGGATCCATGCAGGAATATGTATCAACTGCAACACCTGCAAGGGAAAAGGGAAAACATGAAGCAAAGCGAATAAACTATGAACCTTAAAGTTAAGTATTTTTTCATTATTTCACAAAAGCTGCTATTTGCCACTGCTACCCGCTCCACAAGACATCCATGTTCAGAGCAATACAATATACATTTATATGGCGCCTTTTACATTGGGAGGATGTCTCAAGGAGCTTTATACAGTTGGTGGGACACTGAAGCCAAGGATTGGGAGCTGAATAGGGTGTGATGGCGAACGTTGACCAAAAGGGGTGGGCTTTGAAAGAGGAGAAGGAGGGGGTGAGTTGGAGGGACTTCATGGTACCAGAGAGCAGGGGTACAGTACCAAAAAGTGCAATGCTTAAAAGCTTATTTGGTGCAGGGAGGGAGGATAGAACAGGAAACATGAAGCAGGTCAATGTTCGCTGATCAAAGGAAGTGTCCATTTTTAATAATAAAAGTAAGAGAAGAAAGAAAAGCCAACGAAGAACAGATCAATTGAATCATATCAGGGAAGAGATTTAAAAGCAATGCTTACTCTCATAATGAATCTTGAAACCGATGTTAGAACGACTGTTGTCCGTTGAAAAGAGAAGGTAAAGATAGTTGGTGCTGCTAAATAGAAACTGAGGAACTTGTGTGCCATTAAAAGAGCCAAGAAGAGGGGAAAGAAGATTTGATCCATCGTGAATCTCTAGAACATCATAATTAACTTCAGTCTGGAACCTATGGGGAGAAAGATTTAAGTTCATCTTAAATAAGTCATTATTCTACAGTTCAAATAAGTTTAAGTACTCTAGAGCTACGGGCTAACCTCATAACAACCTTATCCAAACAGACTTAACACAAATTAATTAATGATCATGCTTCTTCCAAAGGGAAGCAATGCAGCAGATTAATTCATAAGGTAAAGAGAAAATGCAAGATTCTCCTGCATTGGGAAGCAAAATGCTAACTCTTCAAAGTGTTATATAGTTATAATTTCATGGGCATAACACATAATTGAAACTATGTATCTAGCAAAATAGTAATGGTAAAATGCTACTTTTTCAAATAGACAAAATGGCTATAATTAGCAATTGATTTATTTAAGACATCAACACTAAACTTATTTTCCTCTCTTGAGGACAACTTTATACAAATTGAATCACTGGCAAAAGCACAGAGAATTGTTTTACATGGTTAACACAGTCGTACGAGAAACGCAAAGTAACAAAAGTTTGTGAGAAGACCTTTCAAATGTTATTTTGATGGAATGTCCTGGTTCAGCTTCAATCACCCACTCACAATTCTGAGAGTCTTTATAATATCCAGGCCAGCCTGGTGACAGGATTATGCCATTGGGAGAAGAAAAGTGGCCACCACATGGAGCTAAAAGAAGGGCAGAGATTTGTACCTTAATTCAAATGTATCCCTGTAAATACAGGGCAAGGCATTCAACAAAAGGCACAGGCTTGAAATATGGGAAAACAATTGATTATGAACATCAACAATAAAATAGTCTGGAAGAACCTGCTCTTTTCATTGCAACAATGCTTTCACATCACTATGGCGACTTCACAGCATGGATGCTGTGTCAGCACCAGGTTGTACTGATAAGCGTACACCAATCTCTTTCTGGAGAGACAACTCCCCTCTTATACAATTTACTGTAAGCTTTCTAAGCCTTAAACAGTTAATAAGTTAAAAGATTTCTAATTAAACTTCAGTGACCCACATGAAACAACCTATTATGTGAAGCATGAAATCCAAGCTGTAAAGCTTTGTGATGTTTGTTACTGTGTGGCTTTGAGATACTTTAGAACCTTGATTAGTTGTAAATGTGCAAAAAGAGCTGAGAAACATGGAACCATTCAGGATTTGCCAATAGATTGCCTACAATGTAAATATGCACAGCACTTTCTTTGTGGTCTCTTGACTGCAACAGCGCATTTGTAACATCAAACAGGAACCAAAATCAATAAAAGCAAATTGAGTGTTCCAATTCTCATTTAATGCAATATTCAGAAATCAAAGTGTTTGACACTAACAAAAACACCTTTGTGGAGTCGAAATGACTACACTCAGTGTATTCTACGCAGATATTATCATCATTTAACAGGTGACTTCTAATCTATCCACCATAATCTTCTTTCCCACTTCTGTCTCAGCTACAATTCAAAGTAATTGTCATTATACCTACCTACAACATGGCGCTAATAAACAAATTAATTAAATAATTGAAAAAAGTAGAAATGTTAAAACGGTGCATTGTTTGACGACAAACACTTTCAGTTTAAACAGAGTGTCATCAAGTGAAGCAGAAAATCCAGTGAGTAACCATAAAAATCACTAAGCACAAGGCCCAGGTAGCTTCTCTGGGTTTGCAGCCAAGTCGTTTAGGTGACTTGGCTATAATTTTTTCTCCCTCTTCTGATGAACACAAATCAACAGGCTGGATTTTCCAACAGACGAGCAAAGCATCTCTGTGCACATTTGAAACTTTTCTTGAATAAATTGTCATTAAAGTTATAAATCAATGCCATGCAGATACAGAGGATTGCTCAATCATTCTGGGTGCATGGCATCTGGGTGTAAGAACAGTGTTACTGTCATAGGAATTAAAGAGATTGCAATAAATGATTGATGGGCTGGTGCAATTTACCAAACTCCCTTCCAATACCTTCACATTTGGGAATGGGACCACTCCACATGACCTTTCCTTCCTGTAATGCACAAGTTATGGTTTCTGTCCCTTGGGTTTTGATGAATCCTTCTTCACATAGGACAGACACAGAGTTTCCCAACTGAAAGTTGTCACCAAAGCGTCGGCCATTTATGGGAATGCCAGGATCAGGGCACTCATTGTGTCCAAATGCTAGAAAATAAAGGAAAATATTTACAATGCTTTGAAATTGACAACTATCCTTGTCAATCAGAATATTATTCTGGTCTCATTTTGAAGAAATAGTGCACAAATCATGTAAATACGTTCGAAATTTGGGTTAAAAAAAAGTCTGAACAGGAAATCCACAGAGTAAACAGCACAAACTCCAGGAAAACACATCAGGATGTAAAGCACATCTCAGGCAAGTATTCCCAAGTAGGTTACACTGAATCACAGGAACAATGTTGAGACTCAAGAGCACCTCAGAGCAGAGTTTTTTCTGGTCAGAGTGAGATACACGTTGTCCTGAGGCCCTTTTTCTATTGTTCATGCCATTTACGTTGTGGTTTTTCTACTCACAATAGATTTTCCAACCCCCATTGTCCAAGATAAAAAAAGTACAGAACACATCAACTTACATCAGCAATAAGTGCCAATAACACTACCAGTTCAATCACAAAATTAAATTTCTGGTGTCTGCTGTCATTTGGTATCTGTTATAACACCCTGCCAGCAAAATGGGAAATGGGAATGGTTTGTGAAGTCCTGTAGCTCAGTGGTTAGAGCACTCGCTTTGCAAGCGAGAGACCCGAGTTCAATTCCAGGCAGGGCGAAACCTTGGGCAAGTTTCCTTACTCCACACGCCTAATAATAATCTCTCCAAAACCAAAAACAATAATAAAATTGGTCATTTTCAATCTACGACTGTTTGTGGGACATTGCTGTGCACAATTGGCTGCTGTGTTCACCCACAAATATACAGTCAATTCACTTTACAGTGTGTTCTGTGAAGCGCTTTGGGACGTCCTCCCGACGTGAAAAGCGCTATATCAAATGCAAGGATTATTATTATTATTATTATTATAATCAGCCTTCACAGACATATATAACTAATATATATATATGTGTGTGTGTATACATACTTCTGGATGTTATCCAGAATAAGGGACAACATTACTGTGTTTTAAGGCAGTAACACAGCAAGAGCCTGAATAGTTGTACATCAACTGCTCAAGCTTTGCTCTCATCGTTTAATGATGACGCCTCAACCATTCAATGTAACACTGCTTTGTAACACATTGTGGACATTGTGCAATTCTATGTTAAGTCTGGAGTTATCTTAACATTCCTGTCCTCCAATGCAAAAATAGCCATTGAGCATTGTTGCTGCACAGCAATTCAGTAACACAAAGAGAATAATTGTTAACTGGATGTTCCATATTGTCAATCTTCTACAAGTCCATTTGCATCAGTTTCCTAGTACAAAGAAACACTGAACCATTTTTTATTTAAATTCTATAACCTTTTTGGTTTTCTATTTTAAAACAGCAGATCACTATGGTAGTGTGGTACTTAGAGCATTCATTTCAATTCAACTTGTGCTATTCAGCATTTTGATACCTTTGACGCACATAAAGCCCTATGACACAGAATTACTGACACATCCTCTTTTTGCAGCTATCATGAATCCAACCAGTCTTAATGTTAGAATTGGAAAAATTTCCTGATGCGATGATGGAGTAATAGATATTTTGTATGAAACTAATTAGCACTATAACCAATTTGTTTTTACACCACAGAATCTTGCCTTTATGAACCCTATTTCAACGAAGTGATCAGAGCACCATTTCTCCTGACAGCATGCATGACAAGAGAAGCCACCTCACATTTACTTCAATCAAAGCAAAACAGAACAAAATTGGAGACATGTTAAGAAGGCCAAGCTTCTGGCAATCATGTTGGTAATAAATACAAGACAAGTTGACAAGTGTCAGATTTAATACAATTTGAATGAATGTAATAATACCATTGACAACCTTTTAGGGATAGTATTGGTCACAACTGTTGGCCTAAAATGACACTTTCAGCTTCATTTGTTACATATGTCTTACCCGTGCCAGGTACCACACTGAAGAGCCACTTACTGCTGCCCTCATTTTACAATGTATAGAAAGCTGGATGGCTCAAGTGTAGGGTCTAAAATGCAGGATTCACAAAACATTTGTAAATATTCTGACAGTCTGAGAATCAGACTGATCCGCAGCAGCTGCTCTCTGAGCAGCCGGAAGGCGATTGGGCTGGAGTTCTTGTGTGTCTTTTTGATTCACATCTGGTTAACCACACAATTTGATAACTGTGAATCCTTTCTGAATCCATTCTAATTCTCACATTTTAGACCCATTTAGACCCACTTCCTACCCCCCCCCCACCCCATGACTAGCTATTTGCTAAAGAATGACAGAAACCAATTCTGTGCTAATCTCCTCCTGGCTATCCAGACACTCCCTGTACATTTGACAATCAGCGAACCTTACAACATATAAAAGACCCTGAGGAAGGACAGGTAGAATGTAAACAATGTGTTGCACTAGCACATTGGTGTTGTCATGAATTACTTGCTCATCCCTCAAAGTTATGTCAGTTGGTGTAGAGAAACTCATCTGTATCCTGTCTTTCATAGAGCTTCCTCAATGGGTGTCACCTTTACGTTTAGATTAATTCACCCAAATTTTTCTAATCTTGTCTCAACACAAAAGACTACCGCAAGTTACATTACTTTCCAGCTTTTTGTTTTGTTTTGAATATCCAGAATATGGTTTGCAAAACAAGCTGCCATTTCCGTAGGCTTAATAAATGCTGCAGTCATAAGCGACCATTAAACACGCATTTAAAGGAGAAGGAAAAGATAAACGTACCACTATAGGTGATGTTAAACCCGCGGCCCGACATGGAGTGGTCAGCCTGAAATTCCAGCCGTAGTATATGATTGTTGCTAGTGAGATGAGAAGGAACCTCGGATCCACTGAAGGTTCCTAACACGGGTGAATCAACTGATTCTCCATCCTTTATGGCAAGGAAGTCAAACTGAGATTCCAGGTCAAAATCATTGAAGGAGAGATGGATTCGACTGCCCCAGTCTGCAATGATCAGCCAGACACAGTTCATATTGTTGCTGTAGCCTTCGGGGTAGTCGGGCGATAGCACTGTTCCAATCGGGTCAGTAAAGTTGGACAAACAAGGAACTGTAAAAATAAAAATGCATTTAAAACAGTTAACATTAAAAGTAGCAATTTTAGGTCCAATGTCACCATCCTACAAAATGCACAGTCACAGCACTTTACAGTAAATTCTGGAAGTGCTTCTCGACGATGTGATAAAGCACTATATTAAATGCAATTATTATTTTCATTGTATAAACACTCACTTAAAAATAATTTTCTGTCGTGGCACCACTGTGTCGGTGGTGAGTCATTCTGGTAAACCATGCAGACAGCTGAGTCAAATGGTTTAATGACCGTGACACACTGACCTTTAATTATCATCTAGTTACCCCTGCTATACTGACATTCGTAAAAAAACATTTCTGTAAGATAAAGCTATTTTTTACATAGATTCCGAATGCAAAAATATGTAAAAATAAATCTGCTAACCTCTCCCTATATTAAATTTAAGGCCTCCAGTTTCCGACTCATCAACCAGAGAAAACTGCTTCCCCGTTTTTACATTATCAAAGCCCCCTCATGATTTTGAACATCCCTAATCCAGTTTACTCTAAGCTTTCTCTGTTCAAGCAAAAATAGTCCCAGTTCCCCTCACAAGTAAATCCTCTAATTCCTGGTACCATCCTCATGAATCTCTTTTGTAGCCAATATATGCCCTTGACATTTTTCCTAATTGATTAACATTGTTCATAAATGGGGCTGACGGGGCCGGCAATTAACTAAAGACTTTCCGTGGGTTTGGCTACCATCCAACTCTACAGCAGTCACTAGATCAGAAGAGGCTCATCCAGCATTTGGTCTCACCAACTAATACAATTTCTACCTTGTCAGGGCTCAAACCCCACTTTTGGATATCAAATGATCAACTCGTAATTCTGGGGGGCGGTGAGCGGGAGGTAAGTGGAAACCCCTTAAAGCTGACCTGCCTGCAAAGTGATTTGTTTGCCAATGGGATATCAGAATCAAGCCCACCCTCTGTGGCGGTCTCAATCACTAAGTTCCTGAGCCAGGCACGTCCACAGTACTGGACTGCAGAATTGATGCTGGCTTAATTCAGTTTTATTTGGGGGTGGGGGTTAAAGCAATACCCTACAAGCCGACACTGTAATTCTATTATTCACAGTGTCCTATGGTTAGCAAGTTCTATGCAGTCAAGATTCAGACCTAACTAATTGTGATGAGTTCAGAGGTTTACACACCAATTTGTTACCTACTATCGATGCCCTGATTTGTTATCTACTATAAAAAATACAGAATAACTCAGCTGTTCCTTAGTGGAGACAACAATAAAAGATATATTGGAAGTGCCAAGCAACAAATATGCTTAAAGGTTTTACCACATATTATATTTTTGTCCCAGCCTGTCAATTGTTGTACCAATTTTAATTAAATTCCTCATTGTAATGGATTCAGGCAACCAATAACTGCCTGTAGTTTAGCAATAAATACAGCACCCCACAATACAGAGGAACAATAGGGCCTTTGGCCGCAATAGAATGCACTAAACAAGCTTTGCAGCTCCCCCATATGAATGCAATAACAGGGACATTAGACAGCATGAAACATAGATTAGAAATTTTAAAAATTTCTGAATAAGTTCTACAATAGCAGTAAATGTAAGGTCCTGACAAATAATTGTTTTTTTTCCTTCATTCATGAGCTATTGGTAATCTCAAGAGTACTAGCAAATTGGAAAAATGCCCTTTCACCACTGGGACCAAGGATTGCATCCAGCCCAGACATATGGCAAGAACATTTCATCTCTCCTTTTAAAGGTTTTAAGTTAAATTAGTTGGGAAGGCTTTCTCCAATTACGAGTGGGCATGACTCTGCAATACAAAATGGCCTTCACAATTAAAGATTGATAGAAAATCCATCCCATTTATAGCAATGTCTGTATAAAAGCTAGCCCCAGGGGGTTTGGAGAGGAGATTTCCACATCAATGTTCAGTCTTTGACTTCAAAGGGTCTAAACTTTGAAGTTTCAAGTTAGAATTTAACTATTATATGAGGCATGCAAGACAAAATGGTACTGAGTGTGATTTATCTCAGCAAATTTATAACCACTTCATGAGGTCACGGGAATAAAAAATGCTGGGCTTCATTGAATCTGTTAAGAACGTGATAGCTTTAGGTGATAATTATACACAGGATTTAAATGTGAACATTTCTCTCTCTGAATTCAACAGAACGGCTGGGTTTTGAACTGGTTTCAGAATCTTGCGCTGCTATTTTAGATTTTCGCTTAGGGGCCAGGTTTCCTGCTTCCAATCCTACACCGGTGATATTTGTCAATTTATCATTTGATTTAAGCCAGTATCCCACTCAAACCCCATCTGTTCAGGTGGATGTTGAAGATCCTACACCACTATTCAGAGAGAGAAGGGAGCTTCTCCCAGTATCCTAGCCAACTAGCTCCCAGGTGGTCGAGAAGCCTTGGCTCTTACCAGCCTGGGGCTAATATTCTTTAGAATTACATGAGTAGGGAGGGTATGTGTATTTCATTCCAATACACAAAAATGTTGTTATGTTGGTAGTATGCATATAATACAGGTTTGGATACTCTTAAGTGTGGTGATGGTTTTTCACATGTGTCAAGACACCTGGCTGACCAAAACAAAAACATATAAGCCTTATATATGATCTAGCCAGCAAAATGTCTCAAAGCACATCACAGGATATACTGTAAAATGCATAAGTGTGTATTTTGTGGATGAAATGTAACAACTAATTTGTTCACAGTAATGTCCCACAAAGTGCCATGAAATAAATGACCAATTTTACTTGGGCAATTGTTGGTCAGGACACTAGGAAAAACTACCAACTACCAAGAATGAATGGACAGATGGGAACTTTTCTCCCTGGAGATGACATGTTTAGGAGAGGACCAGATAGATGTGTTTACAGTTTTGAAAAGGTTTGATAAGGTGGATGTTAATAGGCAGATTCCACTTGTTTGTGAGTTTGAATAAGGGGACATAAAGGATCTCCTACGATAGTTAGTGGAGTGGAATTTAGGAGAAACTTCTTTAGAAAAAGGGTGATGAAATGTATTCAACTCATTCCCAGAATCTATGGTTGAAGCGGAAAACATTAACATATTTAATAAGAAATTCAATATTTTCATGATGGAAACATGATAGAGAAGGGAATAGAGGGCTATAGGAGAAGTGATTAGGATGGGGTGGAAGTTCATGTAAAGCATTAACGTAAGCACTAGTTGGGCTGAATGACCTATTTTGGTGCTGTACAGTTAATAACATTCTATATAATGTATGATTCCTTATTTGCTCTAAACTAGTTTATTACTGGGAACAATAGTAGTGTGCTTATAATGTGTTTGATGTTCTCAGACTAGGGAAGGTAAAGGACAAAGAGGTCACTGCATCTGATTGATACTGAATGGTCTTTTGCTGGGAAAGTACATGGGTGAATGTCAGGTGAGGTTAGGAACAGGCTCAGCTGAGAAGGCATCCATGCTTGAATAGTGTGCTAGCAGTTATTATCTGGACTCACTCATGAAAAAGGATCACATTTGCTAAGTTAAGCTAGGAATGCCAGAGACCGTGCAGATCCAGTATGAAACATCACTTTCATGTAAGAAAAGGCAGGAGAAAGCAACAAATAAAAGAACAGGGACATGCTTCTAAGAATGTTTGAAATTTCACCATTGTACATTTTTATCTTGCTTTTCTTCTTCTGTGTTACACAGCACATCACGTCCAAAAGGAGAGACTCGTGATCTGCTTTGATGCCTCTGCCAATGCTACTCTATGACCATCCACCAAGCAACATTTTAGTCATTTAACATAAATGAACAGCACTAAAGCCCCGACTGAAATTATCACTTTTTTGATCAGCCGAACGCTTGATACAAGAGGAAACCCATTACTATCAGTATATAAAGCAGACTGAGAGTCGCACATGGAAATTTTTCTGTGTCTGGAATGGAATTCTCACTCTCTCCCTGGAGGAATGCATTTCTGCTTACCTAATTCCACAGTGTATTAGGCACAGAGTAGCGAGAACTAAGACTTGAGGACCACAGAGTGTGTGTTAGGGTATTGTTGGAGTTTAACCAGCTAAAACTACATAGCTTGCCATAGAAAGCATTGTCAACATTACTATTAACTATCAAAATTACAAATCTACAACTAGTAGTCCATTCCATTTAACTAGTGTTGAACCAGGAAAGTATAGCATCTGAACAGATCTTTCTTTTTTAAAACATTGAAATACGGTAACAATAACAGCAACAAGATTACATTTGCATAGTGCCTTTCACGTCGGGAGGACGTTTCAAGGCACTGGGTAGTGTACAGCCTTCAGACTCGAGCTGGGGTCAGGGAAGGAGAAGGGAGAGGAGGGAAAGGGGGGGTGACCGATTGCATGGTCGAAGAGGAGGGTTTTGAGGCGGGACTTGAACAACAACAAGATTTAATTTATAGAGCGCCTTTCATGTCGGGAGGACGTCCCAAGGCCCTGGACAGTTGGGTTGGGACCCGAGCAGGGGGGAAATGGTCAGGGTGAGGGGAGGGAAAGGAGGGAGCGAGAAAGGGGTAGAGAGTCGAGAGGGGAGCTGAAGGCATGGTCGAAGAGAAAGGTCTTGAGACCGGCCTTGAAGGAGGAAAGGGAGGAGGCGGCGAAGGCACTGGGGGATGGAGTTCCAGAGCCTAGAGGCTGAGAGGCTGAAGGCCCGGCCACCGATGGTAGGGCGGTTGGGGCGGGGGATGTGGAGCAGACCGGAGCCAGAGGAACGGAGGGTACGGGCAGGTAAGTAGGGGGATAGTAGGTCAGAGAGGTAGGAGGGAGCAAGGCCGTGAATGGCCTTGTAGGTGAGGATGAGGATCTTGAATTCGATCCTCTGGGGGATGGGGAGCCAGTGGAGGCGAGCGAGGGTGGGAGTGATGTGGTCCCGAAGCCTGGTGCGGGACAGTACACGAGCTGCAGAGTTCTGAATGACCTGCAGCTTGTGGAGGGAGGTGCCGGGAAGGCCGGCGAGGAGAGAGTTCCCATAGTCCAGCCTTGAGGTGATAAAGGCGTGGATCAGGGTTTCAGCAACGTGAGGGGTGAGGTAGTGCCGTAGTCTGGCGATGTTCCGGAGGTGATGGAAGGCAGTTCCAGTTGTGGCGCGGATATGAGGAACAAAGGACAGCTCAGGGTCGAACAGAACGCCGAGGTTCCTGACTGGCTTTGAGAGGTGGAGAGTGCAGCCTTGGATGCTGATGCTGTCAGCGCCTGAGGTGCGGAGGCGCTGACGTGAGCCAATCAGGAGGGCCTCAGTTTTGTGCACGTTGAACTGAAGAAAGTTGTCTCTTGTCCAGGACTCGATGTCAGACGACAGGCTGTCAGGACATCGGTGGTCGTGGAGTTGAGGGTAGAAGAGGAAAGGTAGAGTTGGGTGTCATCCGCATACATGTGGAAGTTAACCCCATGTCTGCGGATGATATCACCAAGCAGGAGCATATAGAGGATGAAGAGGAGGGGACCGAGGACAGAGCCCTGAGGGACACCGCATGAGACAGTGCGGGGGCTGGAGGAAAAACCGTTTGTGGAAACAAAATGAAGACGGTGGGAGAGGTACGACCTAAACCACTCAAGGACAAGGCCTTGAAGGTTGAGGTGGGAGGACAAGTGGTGGAGGAGGATAGCATGGTCGACCGTATTGAATGCGGCCGATAGGTCGAGGAGGATGAGGAGGCAGAGGGAGCCCTGGTCGCAGATGGTCAAGATGTCATTAGTGACCATGACCAGGGTGGTTTCCGTGCTATGGGCAGCACGGAAACCCAACTGAAGGGGTTCGAATAATGAATGGATGGAGAGGAAAGTGCGCAGCTGGGAGGCGACGACTCTTTCAAGGACCTTGAACAGGAAGGGGAGGTTGGAGGAGGCTAAGGAGGGGATGTGGCGGCGTGACTGGGGGATGGAATTCCCGAGGTTGGGGGCAGAGTGGCTGAAGGCTCTCCCGCCAATGGTGGGATGGGTGGGTCGGGGATGTGGAGCAGACTGGAGCTGGCTGAGCGGAGGGAGTAAGCGGGTTGGTAGGTGGTTAGAAGGTTGCAGAGGTAGGGTGGGGTGAGGCCATGGAGGGCTTTGTAGATGAGGACCAGGATCTTGAACTGGATCCTCTGAAGGATAGGGAGCAAATGGAGTCGAGCGAGAATGGGGGAGATGGGGTCACGGAGTTTGGTGCGGGAGAGGACACAGGCTGCAGAGTTCTGGATTATCTGCAGCCTGTGGAGGGAGGAGTTGGGAAGGCTGACAAGCAGGGCATTTGCATAGTCCAGCCTGGAGGTGATGAAGGCATGAACAAGAGTTTCAGCGGCCTGAGGGGTGAGGTAGTGGCAGAGTCGGGCGATGTTACAGAGGTGAGGGAAGGCAGAGCGAACCATGGCTTGGATGTGGAGAAGAAAAGACAGAAAAGTAACTTCAAAAAATATTCTCTTCAACAGTAAAATCAGTAAAATCAGTGGTGAGGCACTCATGGTCCTATCATGAAGATACCCATTTGAATTAGTATCATTGTGGTAGTTCATGGTTTATCCAAAACTATGAAGTTAAAAATTGCAGCATTCCTTCATATGTTCCTTCTGCTAATTAAGATAAAGATGGCTTGAAATTCCATCTTGTCTAAGTCAATGCCAAGAACATTTGGAATGAATAGGGCAGAATTGTGGACAGTTACTACGTTCAGAAGTCAGCTTGGAATCCTTTAATGATCACTTCAAATGCTACCTCTTTGTGTTGTAGAGTGGTAATCATTCTTATTTATCGTCTCACCAGTTTCGATGAAAGTTAATTGTATATAGCATAAAGAAAAGTTAAACTCTAATACTCACAGATGCAAATTGGTATATTTGCAGACCATTGGTTGTTGTCTTGGCAAAGTAAGGACTTTTCTCCGATCAGTTCAAATCCAGACAAACACCGAAACTTCAAAATATTCCCATTCAAGAAGCCATCTGTGTCACGCATGCCATAAAGTGGAATCCCTGGATCACCGCAACTCTCTTCATCAATCTCTGCGAGAACGAAGTAAGAAACCGAGAAGGTCAACAAACATATTTCTTCTGCATTGAAAAACACTCATAAACCCCAAGTCGGAAACCAAATAACAAAAACAGTTCTTAAAAATATATCAATTTAAACAATTATAGAACTCTGCCGCATCTTCTCTGCAGGATATGAGGAGCTGAGGGGTAGAAGGAGACAAAGACCAAAAATGGGTTGGAAAGATAGATCTAAAAACAAACTTATAAGCGCAGAAGTAAAAGAAAAATCAGAAAAGAAGATCAACGGAATGGAACAAAAAGCAGGAAGGAAGTATAAATATAAACAACAAAACAGAGACCCATGTTTCATATTGTGCCCTGGAGCTACTTCCAGAGACTTCCTCATCCACAATTATATTCATCTTTGATGACATCAACATGAAAGGATAAAATCTGTGCTCTAGCCGTTAATTAATCTGGGAATAGTTCATATCATTCCCAAAACAATAGATTTCAAAACATTTTACACTTGTTAGCTGCAGTTAGAAATGATCTGCATTGTTGTCAATTATTATTATTGGGCTGTAATAATAATAATCCTTGCCTTTGATATAGCGCCTTTCAGAAAGACAGAAGTGTTTCAGAGGATTTACCTTACATTGTAGTGAAAGCAATGTCCCACAAACAGTCATGAAGTGAGTGATCAATTTTATTTGTGGGGTCCCGTAGTGTATTAATTAGAGCATGTGCCTCGCAAGCAAGAGACCTGGGTTCAATTCCCGGGAGGGGCAAAATGCTTGGCAAGTTTCCTTACTCTACATGCCTCTGTTTACCTAGCAGTAAGTAAGAAACCGGTTAGTCGATTGACGGATTGCTTTCTGGGGGTAATCCGCCCCCCCCCCGAATAAATAAATGAATAATAATTTGGTCACTCAATCCATGACTCTATGTGGGACACTGCTGTGCACAATTGTCTGCCGCATTTCGCCCACAAAATATATAGCAAATTCACTTTATAGTATATTCTGTGAAGTGCTTTGAGACATGTCAATGAAGTGGTAAGATGCTATGTCAAATGCGAAGATTAATATTATTATTTGGAGAATTGTTGACCAGGAAACTAGGAGAACTTCCAAAGGATCACAATTTGTTGAAGGACAACACCTCCAAAAATGCAGCACTACCTCCACTGGAGTGTGAGCTAATTGTAAACAAAGCCAGATGCACAAAGGATTTCATTTGTTTCAAAATAAAAATATAATCTTGATTGTTTAAATACCAGAAAATATCACTCCTCTTTATTGTGGAGTGATATTTTCTGGACTTGTGGAGTCCGTAGCTCAGTGGTTAGAGCACTCGCCTCGCAAGCGACAGACCTGTGTTGGATTCCCGGCAGGGCGAAACCTTGGGCAAGTTTCCTTACTCCACACGACTAATAGTAATCCCTCAAGAAAAAAACAATAAAAAATTGATCACTTGAATCCATGACTGTTTGTGGGACACTGCTGTGTGCAATTGACTGCCACATTTGGTCCACAAATATACAGTCAATTCACTTTACAGTATATTCTGTGAAACACTTTGAGACGTCTAGAAGACATGAAAAGCGCTATATCAGATGCAAGGATTATTATTATTATGATTATTGTTATTGAGTATCTGCGAGAGGTCACCCAGTGGCGATTAACTGGTTGGAGACCCCTGGCCTAGATGATATGAGTTCAAAATCCTGACATGAGGCTTGAACTTACAATCTTTTAACTCAGAGGCAAGAGTGTGGGGCAACTGAGGCAGGCTGACACAGCTGGGATGTTATTTGCTGGTGCAGCAAGCTCAAAATACGTGAGAAAACTTTCCTCTTTGAGTGTGCCTTCTCTTTCCAGCTCGGCATCCAGCCACACTACTGTTAAAAGCTCCGAGACATTGCCCATGCGAAGGATGCTAAATATATTTGCAAGCTATTGTTTGCGAGTCCAAAACAAGGGGGCATAAAACAAGATGGACAGGAGCAGATATAAAACAGATTTATGAGGAAATTCTTACATAGAGGGTGGTGAAAGAATATAATATTAATAATTCTTAAAGCGCCTTATCAAGTCACCAAGATGTCTCAAAGTGCTTCACAAGATATACTGTAAAGTGGATTGACTATATTTTGTGGGCAAGATGGAGCAGACAGTTTGTCCACAGCATTATCCCACAAATAGCCATAGAGTGAGTGACCAATTTTATTTGGGGATTTATTGACCAGAAATGTGGAATTCACTAACAAAAGCTATGGTTAAAGCATTTTGTATTAATGTATTTAAGAGGAAACCTGATGTATTCATGAGGGAGAAGGGAATAGAGGGCTTTAGGAGAGTGAATTAGGAGGAGTGGGGGCTCATGTTGAGAGTAAACACTAATAGTTTCTGTGCTATATAATTCTTTGTAATTCTATGCGTTATCAAATATATTTTGAATCATCACACGTTTTTCGCCTCTATTCCTAGACCCTGATATTCATCCAACTTTTGACTGCTAGTTGGGCCTAAAGATTTCTGCACAACCATGGATTTCAATTGCTGGTTCCGTATAGTTTCTTGGAATTCTGACTTAACTCATTGAGTATCCCATAAAACTGTGCAGGAACAGGAACAGCAGCTCTGGAATAGGAACAATGATTGGAGCTGTTAATGGAAAATCAAATTGGCGACACAGAAATCTTAGAACTGGCTTTGGATCCATCTAGTAAACAACAAAAAATTACATTTATATAGCACCTTTCACATCGGGAGGATGTGCAAAATAATACTGGCTGGGGACTCAAGCTGGGGGTGGGAGCTGAAGGGTGGGGAAAGATGACTCAGAGCTTTGGCAAGGAGATAATAATAATAATAATCCTTGCATTTGATATAGTGCTTTTCACATCTTCTAGACGACTCAAAGCGCTTCACAGAATATACTGTAAAGTGAGTTGACTGTATATTTGTGGGTGAAACGTAGCAGCCAATTGCGCACAGCAGTGTCCCACAAACAGTCATGAATTGAAATGGTCAATTTATTTTTCTTTCTTAAGGGATTATTATCAGGCGTGTGGAGTAAGGAAACTTGCCCAAGGTTTCGCCCTGCCGGGAATCGAACCCAGGTCTTTCACTTGCAACGCGAGTGCTCTAACCACTGAGCTATAGGACTCCATGATCGTCGTTGAACGAGGTGAAGGAAGGAGAGAGGAAATGAGGTGAGGGATGGAACAAGGTGAAGGAAGGAGGGAACAAGGTGAGGGAGGGACCAAGGTGAGGGAGGGAGAGTACAAGGTGAGGAGGGAACGAATAAGGTGAGGCAGGGAGCAAGGGAATTATGTGAGGAAGGGAGCAACGTGAGGTGAGGGAGGGGGCGAGGGAATGAGGTGAGGAAGGAAGTCTTGAGGAGGGAAGACTTGTTAGATTCATATGTATGACTCACCTTTAGAAATAGATGGAAAAATCCAATGTTCTACAGATTGAATACAATAATTGTCGATTTTGTTTGAAACAGCTTTTATTTTCCCACCATGTGTAACATATAAGTGTTTGGGTGTTTTTTTAATTTGTGAATGAAATTTAATTTCCACAAAAGCATCTCAAATTAACTTGGCTACAACTGACATGGCACTACTAAAAAAAAATCTTGTTTAAGTCTTTAGGCTGATTAAACAGACTTCTTTTCCATCTGCGCAAAAGTAATTTATTGATCTAGCAGAATCCTCTGGCGATCAGCATATGTTCTCAGTAATTACAAATACACAGTTAGATGCCAGAATTGCTGTTTTATTTTGTTGTTTTTGTTTCTGTTTTGTTCCTATTGAAAATCTACTTTTTGTGTAAGAAAATATACCCATTATAACATTTCAAAGTTTCTATTTCCAAAAAAACAAACACAAAGGAAACAGTTTAAAAATCCATGATTATATTTTGCAGAGGTCTCTAAGCTCCTTAGCAAAAACTATTATACAGGATTTTATTATTTTTAAAATAGTATTTTGCCTATGTAGCAACATTCACTTCATTTCAAATATTCTTATTTTCTACTTTTTTAATATGAACCCAGTATATGAAAGTAAATTGTTGGTAAATTGATAGATTAATAAATCCCAAGACAAAATAAACGTGTTTAATATATGACAGTACAATCACTTAGTAGTCTACGATCCTACCCACTTACTTACCTATTGAATAAATCTAACTACTTTGTTTCACCCACAAAATATGCAGTAAATTTACTTTACAGTATATTCTATGAAGTGCTTTGAGATGTCTCAAAGACGTGATAAGGCACTATATCAAATGCAAGGAATATTATTATGATATTGAGCTAACTGTTTCCAAAAAATGGCAGTAATACAAGGTTCAGATGGTAGTATTCTCACTTCTGAATCAGAACATTGTGGATTCAAGCTCCACATCAAGACTTCGAGCTCACAGCCTAGGCTCATGCTGCAGTGTAATGCTGGTGTGCCCAGCATTGTATCGGAGTGTCAGTCTAGATCAGAGATCCTCAAACTATGGGGCGCACCAATCTGGGGAGACGTGGACATTTGCCAGGGGAGGCGCCAGTTGCATACATCCCAACAGTTCCAGGTTTGCGAGACTGGTCCTGTACCTCACCAAAGCCATACCCCCGACAGCCAAAACCTATGACATTGCTTCCCGCGACAACCATATCCTGTGACAATGCTTCCCAAACCTGGAGATAATGCTTTCCATAACAACCAAACTCCAAACAAGCTCACTCCTCCTACTGAATAGGTAGAACTGATGGATATTATACTGACGTAATCTATAATTGTTTGGTGTTATAATTTCCTAAAATGTTATTCAGTTTTATTTTAGCTGCTGCAATTTGTATTCTTTTTGTATTTGGTTAACTGTGAGATAACACAGAAGGTGCATTATGAAATAAAATGAGTATTTTTGACACTCATACTCTTAATATAACTAGATTGATCAAAGCCCTTTTGCTTTATTACTCGCATTCTGGCAAAGTATAGGATTTTTAGTAATTTGTGTTGT